ATGATTCAGTAGCTAAGTCGACAACGTAATGGCGTTTGAAATGAACGGTACTGGATTCGAGTTCCGAAGTGAAAATCAACTCTGGGATGCTGGTACATCCAGATGACGAGTCCTAAATAAGATTAAACGCACATCCTGGATTCCACTACTAGTCGCTATCTTTGCTTAAGTAAACTATACATTTATTAGAAGAGTTATTATACATAAGTTTTCAAATTTTATGAGTGACAGGATAGAATATAAGTGTTTTTTTATTCATATACTTGATAGTTTAAGTTCATCATATTATTAGATGAAGTCGCCAGTACTCTTAGAATTGTACTAGTAAAGGTAATTTATTCTAGGCCACCAATTATTGTAATTAATCTAAGTACTTAAAAAAAAAACGGAAATGAATAATTATGTGGGTATATTATTTTACACTTAAACGAAAAGGGCTTAAATTTATCCACATTCAAGAAAACAAATCTACGTACAAGATTCTTTACATGTTGCAAACTTAAGTGAAGTTAATGTACAATATTCTCACTAATACAATTATCGGAAGAGGTTTTTGTGAATATTATAGTAATTTCAATAGTTGAGATCATGAGTCAATTGAAGCTTAACCACCATGGAAACCTGTAAACACCAGGGTGGCCAACTCGTCCTATTGTGGGACTCCTCAGCAGTATGCATCCACCATCCTTCCCCCCCGCGAGATTTGAACCCAGGACCTATCTGTCTTGCGCGCGAGCGTTTAACCACTAAACCACTGAGCCGGACAGAATCCAACGGTGTTAATGTCTATTTATTTATTTATTTGAACACATGAATATTGGTACAAGAGAGTGACAATATATATGCGCCACACAAAACAATGAGAATTCGAAAAAAAGAAGGTTAGGAGCGTAAAAAAAAAGAGAACAATAACGAAGAGGTTGGTGAAAGGTAGTGTAATAATAATAGTAATAGTAGGGGAACAGAAGGGTACAATCAGAAGAAATCTTTCAGTTAAGGAAGATACAACCACGTTTTATGAAGAAAGTAAACGAAGGTTACAGCAGGATCGCCACTGGCTTCTATTCTGAGCCATATCTGATAACGTCTCTAGCCGCTGTGTTGCACCATCTCTCAGACCCCAACCAGGGAGTCGTGAAGGACCAACACAAGCCAGTCCTTTGCAGCTTTCTTTCATGCCACGACACCATGTCATATAATGACCGCCTCTCCGCTTCTTCCAACCAGTCCCAGAGTCGGCAAATAATGCACGACGTGGAATTCTCTGGGACGACATTCGTAGAACATGTCCAAGCCATCGAAGTCGGTGTTTCAAGATGGTGACACCAATTGCATTATCATCTCTGTGCCCGAACACACGATGCCGAACCTCTGCATTACTGACATGGTGTTGCCGCTGGATGTCAGCAATCCTTCGGAGACAGCGATGATCGAACACAGAGAGTTGTCTAACGTCCTCAACTCGGAGAGGCCAGGTTTCACAAGCATAGAGCAGAACTGCTCTCACCGACGCGTTGTAGATCCGACCTTTTACGGCCAGACTAACATCACGAAGGCGTCAAAGATTGCCCAGATTGGCATAAGCCTCTCTGGCTTTCACTATACGTGCATTGGTCTCATCACTCACATCCCCACCAGCACTTATGCAACTACCCAGATACACGAACTTCTCGACTACCTCTATCTGCTCACCATCCAAGGTGAGTACAGGATTGGAATCCTGCCAGTCTTGTAGAAGTACTTAGCACTTCGAAGGTGCAAAGCACATACCATACCTAAGGACACTGATTGCCAACTGATTAAGCGCGAATTGCATGTCTTGGGGGTTATCGCACAGTAAGACAATATCGTCCGCATACTCAAGGTCGAGGAGTCTTTCTCCAGACAACAAATCCACACTACCATTACTTACATCCATCAGAGTTGTTTCCAGAATGTCATCGATGGCAAAGTTGAAGAGGAATGGTGAGATTGGGCAACCCTGTCTAACCCCACTACTCGAATAGAACAATGGAGAAAGGTGGTTGTATGCCCTCACTCTGCCTGAGGTGTTTTTATATAGGGCTTTTGAGATGTTAATAAACTTCTCAGGCACACCCTTCTTCAATAGACAATCCCAGAGAACAGTCCTATCCAACGAATCGAAGGCAGCCATGATGTCAAGAAATACTACGATTGTTGGCCTTTGAAAAGTATGGCGGTGTTCTAACATTTGGCGAAGGGTGAAGATATGATCAATACATCCTCGACCAGAACGAAACCCAGCCTGCTCTTCGCGAGTTAATCTTTCTCGGGTTTTGAACAACCTACGAAGTATGACGGAAGCCAATAGCTTGGACGCAATCGGAAGTAGACTTATCCCCCGATAGTTGTTACAGGAACGACGTGAACCCTTTTTAAAGATAGGGACAATTATCGACTCATTCCATGACGTTGGTACACTCTCTAGTTCCCAAACCTTTGTAAACAACGTCGTCAGTTCCTTAGTCAGAAAGTCACCACCATCTTTAAAAAGACCCGGAGGTAAGTCATCTGGGCCAGGTGATTTGTAACGCTTCAGGAGTTGGAGTTCCTTGAGGACTTCCTCCTCATTTGGTGGATCAGTCGTCACCGGCCATGGAGGGCAGGACAGTCTGACCGATGTTGCTGGAGCAGCAAGCCAGTTGAACTGCCCTTCGAAAAATTCTGCCCATCGTCCAAGACGTCGATGGATGTTAGTGATTGGCGTTCCATCATCCTCGCAGATTGTTTCGCTCACACCGGACTTCTTGCTGCCAGTGGCTCGGATGAGTTGGAAGAGCTTCCGGTAATTACCAGGTGCAGCTGCTGCTTCCAGCTCATTAGCACGCTTCGACTATCAGGCTTCTCGGTCCTTACGCAAGCTTTGCCCAATTTCCTTACGTAACATCCTTCGTTTATGGTCAAACTCATGGTCACCCGGAGTAGACCGATGGGCTTCAATGAGTTGTAAGGAACCAGAAGAAACCCAGTGCTTAAAAGCGGGACGTTTCGCAAACCCACAACTGACTGTTCCCGCCATTTTCATGGCGTCATGCAATTGCAACCAACGCTCATCTATACTTTTCAGTGGAATGGTAGCTAGCCTAGAAGCTAGCTCGGTTCGATACTTACTTGCAACAGAAGTTGCAACCAACTTGCTAACATCAATCCGTTGATGGCGGTCACTTCGTTGTCCACTGAAAAGTAAGGCAAGATTGGCGCAGACCAAGGCATGGTCAGAGTCCAGATAGGTACTCCAAAAGGAGCTGCAGTCTTATACACAACCACGCCAGCGGTAGCTGATCGCGATGTGATCAATCTGAGTCCAGGCTTGAGATGCAGAGGGAAGACGCCAGGTGGCACATCGGCGATGACTGTGCCGAAAGTTAGTGCTAGCCAGAAACAGGTTATGGTCTGTGCAAAGTTGCAGTAGACGGCCCCCGTTATCTGTCCTGAGACCAACAAGTCCCCATTGGTCACCTAAACGACTCTCTTCTGTGCCTAGACGCCCGACCTGAGCATTCAAGTCTCCGGTTAGTACTACAATTTCTGTCGAACGCACTTTCTGGAGAAGAACAGATAGCATGTGGTAAAATTCATCCTTGATTGCATCCGGGCTGCAATCTGTCGGAACATAGGCAGAGATGACGAAAAGACATCGTTTCTCACGCCGATTTCTTCTCACTTTGATCGAACTCTCTAATCTAACAGCACATAACCGACTATTAATGGGTATCCAATCGATTAGTGCTGCCTCAGCTCTAGAGTTCAGTGCGACACCAACGCCAGCAAGACCAGACGAAGATGCTACAGGGTCCCCGGATAAGCGCCCGTAAAATAAGCTATTCGAAGTGACAGATGGAGAGCGAATTTGTAGTACTTCACCAGAGTCTTGAATACGGGTCTCAGATAGACAGCAAACATCGATATTAAGACTTTCCAAAGACATAGCCAGACCTATCTGTTGTCCAACCTGCATAAGTGTGCGAGCGTTGAAGGCAGCTAGTTTGAATAGTGCACGTGGTTTCAGAAAAACTGCTTCAGTGGTAACATACAATTTTCAACCGGACAGTGACTCGGTAACGTTTAGACAGAGTCGATTTCCACCATAGACGAGCTGCTGTATAAGTCGAAAAAATATGTATAGACAGAGTAGGAATAAAAGAGGGTAAACAATGTTGTAGTAAATAATAATAATAATAGTAATAATAATAATCATTTGATTGTTAGTTGAAGCAAGTAAAGTAGTTTACATAATTATAGGCAGTTCATCATTTGGGTGTGGGCTGTGATACTGCCCGGGTGCCCAGACCGAAGCAGGTGGTTTTCTTAGGGGGCCACACCCCCGATGCAGTCACATGGTAGCCGGTGACCAAGAAATTGGTTCATACGCCATTTGTTCCCCAGCAGGATATTGGAGCCCATGTGCATCATTGGTTTGGAGTCCGGTTAAAGCGCCGGACATTCGCTTTTCGTCCTCTCATTTTCATAAACAACATCCCTGCCACGAAAAGGCAGTGAGTAGGACTTCCCTGGCAGAGGCTGTATACGCGTGGCCGTGTGAGAGCATTTCGAGAGGGTTGGCGGCCATACCAGGGCTTTTGGAGGCCTAGCTTAGATTGACTCATGATTTCAACTATGAAAATCACTGCGATCACCACAAACTTTCATTTCGATATTAAACAATTAGTTTATCCAATATCAATGAAAAAATGAGCACAATGTAATAGATTTTTATTTCTTTCAAACAAAACGATAGAAACGCGTACAGTGATATGTAACAGTTAATTCATAGAAAAAAGAAGAAATGATACACAGCCAGAAAAGAACAAAAGAAATGCAAAAACATCAAATGTATACACCATAAATAAATAAGTAAACAAGAAAAAAACAAACAAAATGGAACAAATTACAAAACAAAAGAAAAAAACGGAACCATAATAGGAGACACTTACGGTATAAGAGATTTATGATGTCGATGATGATCATGATGTAACAGATAGAAAAGGATACTAAAGAAATAAAATTAATTGAATTAGTCACAGCCCCATTTCAAATTTATATTTATTAATATGAAGAAAAAAAGAAGAAAATCCCATAGAAACAATGAAATGCCAAAAAAAGAAAAGAAAACTATGAAGAGAATAGTTTTCTCTCTTTCTTCTTTTTCTCTTCTTTTTTCTTTTAAAATGTATATAATGTTCTACTATTTAATGAACGATAATCCCCTGAAGTAATCATATCATAACCATTCCAACCAGTTAAGAAAACACGACTAGGCCATTGATTCGGTAATAATAATAATTGTATATTATAATTTAATTGTTTTAATTTATTGATAAAATCTAATGAATGATTTAATATATATTCCATAGTAATACTACCTGGTATAGTAGTATTATAATTAGGATGTATTCGGGTTAATTGAATAGAATAAGTTGAATTAATACAATTTTTTTCAATGGCTGGAGTAAATCTACTATGACTACCAATAATTGACATCATAGAAGTTTGTTCTTTAACATTATTCATTGTAGAAATAGAAGTAAATTGTCGTAGTGTAATAGGTGTATGACATTGTGAACCACGTAGAAATAATGCGGCATTACTTATTACCTGTGTGTGTGTGAAATGTAATGCAAGAAAGAATAAGAAATATATGTATATAAATAAATTTAGTAAAATGAAAAAGATAATTTATTATAATCTAAATAGAGAGTAAATGATTAGTAATACTTGAGTTATTCAATTATTGAGTTCCAGTCCTAAATACTACTCATTATCTACGATTTCAACGATCAAGTTGTATTTATTTATTTACTTATTTGAACATACCAACATTGGTACAAATAGGCACTAAATAAATATGCGCCAAATAAGTCATTTGATTTGTGTGAGGTCTAGGATACTGCCCGGGTGTCCAAATCGAAGCAGGTGGTTTTCTTAGGGGGTGGGGCACATTCAGAGCCTTTGACCTGAAGGTCTGTTCCACAAGACAGTGGAGCAACGTCACAAGATGCAGTCCCATGATAGCCGATGATCAACAATAGGTTCGCAGGCCTTTTGTTCTCTCAGGATACTGGAACCTATAAGCACATAGATGAATCCTTCATACCAACCAACCCGGTTAAACCGCTGGACATTCGCTTTCCGTCTTTTCAATTTCATAAACAACATCACCGCAACGAAAAGGCAGTGGATAGGGCTTCCCCTGGTAGTGGTTATATGCATGTGGTCATATGAGAGGATTTCGAGAGGGAGAGCTGATTCTCCCCATTCTCGGCCGCACGAGGGAATTTGGGGTCAAACCGTACAAACTATAGGTTGACAATATTATGAGTACTGACTGTAGATATTAAGAGTATGCGTCACCCCGTATCTAAACAGTCAAAATTCCCAGGTTTGTTTAACTGTCCTCACAATTTCGATTTCACAGTTAAGTGAAGCCCATATACAGGGTACCGAGATGGTCAAATGCAATGTTAATTCTTCTGGACACGAGGTTCGAAGAACGTGTTCTACAACCTGTTTCGTTGTTCTTCAATATTGGTGATTACCTCGCCTTCCTTGCTTTTCACTGGTCGTTCTGGTTTGCGGTGATTTCCATAGAGTTTCTTTGTTGTATCATACAGTTGTCTCATGTTTCCTTCTCTTGCAGCCTTTTCCGCCGTCATTGCTAAATCTTCCACATATTTACATTTTTCAGTTCTCATGCTCCTCAAACGAACAGTGATCTCAAGTGACAAATACTGGAATGCCTGGAAAGCCCAATAAGATCAACGAAAACGTAACATTGGGCCACGAAGAAATACAATCGGATGCACCTCCAGATGTACGGCAAGTCAAATTAGATGCATTTTCATGTCATGGCTCTAATGTTAGTTTAGTAAGTCGACATAGCAAAATTAGCTCTAGGATTACCTTAGCAGAGTTGAAAGAAAGACAATTATTAAAAATTAGAGACTTGAAAGATAGACAGAGGAAACAACTACTGTGCTTTCAGAGAGAGTTCGGGTCGTTAAGGCTGAACGAGAACACATGTAGTAGATTATCTTCTGCCTTTATTTGTGATGAAAGAGAACAGGAGCACGTTCACAGGTTCGTGAGCCCTTCTCATGACCTCAGGATAAAGTCTCCAGAAAAGTCAAAACTGTTAAATTATCCAGGAACGAAGAAGAAGAAGAAGGAAGTGACCTTGGCATCTCCAAGTGTAGGTCTTGAACTTCCAAAGGTAGAGCTAAGTACTTTTGATGGGAAACCAGCTAAACACTGGAAATTTATTAGACAATTTGAGTTATATGTGGTTTCCAAGGTTGAAGACGATGTCCAACGGCTCTTGTACTTGTTTCATTATTGTAAAGGAAAGGCTCGAGAGGCCATAGAGGAATGCATAATGCTTTCACCATCTTCGGGTTATCGTAGAGCGTGCGATATACTGAAACGGTTGTTTGGCAGAACACACGAAGTAAGCCGGGCTTTGCTAAATGACTTGACTGAAGGTGCCAATATAGAGCATAACGACGGAGAAAGTCTATCTAGGTGTTATGACCTTGAGTCGCTTTTACCCCGTCGATACTTGGTTATGACTTGACCTTGATCTGTCTAGTCCAGATTATGACCTTGACGCGATAGGCTGAGCGGCTTAACCTTGAGTCTAGTACGCGTGAGTTCGAGATGGGGTAGAGAGAGATCTATTCTAGAACCTGATTGGTTGGCAAGCACGCAAGTGAGAGGAGACAAGACAGTTGGAACACTGAATTCTGAATTCGGATTAGTGCAAAAATGTACATGAATAAATAAGTGAATATCCTGACCACAACTTACGATAATTTGGAAAAATACAATTATGCCCGAAACTGGGAATTAGGGTAGAAAATAAGATGCAAAATATTGTTTAAATTACAATATTTTCGGAACAAAAAAGGGTATAGCAGTGAATGTTACATAGAACGAAAGCTCATGTTATGTAGAATGAAATAGGGACAAAAATAAATATAAGTGTTTTACAAGGTTTGAATGAAATGAAATAACGTCCCAAGAAAATAGCTTTTGTAGTTGTCTGGGCTTCTTATTTCCCCGTTCACAACATCTTCCCCGTTAAAAAAATATAAAAGGAATGGTTAGTCACTATGTACAGGTAAGAGCTGAGATATCATCACTGATATCTTCCCTCGGAAACGTATGTTCTTCTCTTTGAGTCCACTTGTAGAATATCTGGTTTTCTGCGTTTCCGTGATGATCTCCTAATAGGACTCTGTCCAGGTTGCGCAGTCTTCTGGGTCGCTGAGCATTTTATATCGAAGGAATTTGATTTGGAAATTTTATGAGAACGTAATAAATCGGCGGTATTTGATTTGACATCGTGAGAACACATAACATTTGAATTGTTTGATTCAGAAAGATTATGAGAACATGTTTCATTAGAAGCATTTAATTCGTGAATATCAAGAGAGGATGATTTATCGGAGGCATTCGATTTAGAAATATCATTAAGGATTTGGATGGACTCATAGGAAACATTATGAGAACATACTTCATCTAATAATTTATTCAAGGTATCAACATGCGCAATCCAATCTAATCCTAATAAATCTAAATCGTGTCTATTTGTGAGATAACAAACATCTGTGAATTTACTTCCCATGAGTTGAACGTTGCATATAACCTCTCCTGTCAACTTCACTATCTCTCCTGAAGCATTTCGAGCGACATGTTCCGTCGGTCGGATGCGTGGGCATCCTAACTTATGCCATGTGTTCTTTGAGATCAACGTAACATCAGAGGCAGTGTCCAATTGAAGTCGTATAGGTTTTTCATTTACTAATAAATTTACATATTTCCGCCTACTTTTAAACCCAACTTTGAAGGTTGCAAACGTGGTTTTAATTCGACTGTTTGATCGTTGCTTCGAATTTTCACTACGACATTTAGGCTTGCGTTTATTTAACGAACAATGACCTTCTTTGTGGCCAATGCGATGACATTTGCGGCATTTATGATTCTTAAACGGACAAAATTTTGCAAAATGCCATGCTCCGCAGAACCAGCATGGTGATGGGGGTTTGACAGGTTGTTTCATGCTTGTACTGTTTTGTTTCGATGATTTTGAGGATCGGAGCGCATTAATTGAACCAGAATCGGAAGGTTTAACCTTCTGTTGCAGCATCGCGGTATCATGCTTGAGATTTAGTAACCGCTGACATTCAGTTGTGACCATTTGTAATGTCATATTCGGTTCTTGTTCAATGCATGCCAACATCCTGGTACGGACATCTGCATCTTCTGCATTCTTTAGACCACATATGAAAATCAAGCATTTAAATTGGTCCGCTGTAATGTCGTTTATTTTGAAGCGTTCGCACTCTCGATTTACCTTCCCAGCATACGTGAGGTAATCGTCCTCTAGAGATTTCGTTATTTGGAAACATTTATAGCGAGTATTAAATAGTGAGGACTGTTCGTCGAAAATATCAGATAGAATCTGGACTGTGTCTTTGAATGATATATCTCGTGGATTTTGTGGTAAGATAAAATTCACATATTTATTGTATTCCTGTGTTCCAAGTCATCACCCATTGTTGCATAAAACCATTCAAGTTCAGGGTGGTTCGAGTGAGCGGTTAAAAGAAAGTCATTGTGGGTACACAGAGTCACTAAAAGAGGATGTGTTTCTTGGTTTAATCCCTGTACGCCTTAGAGCTGGGGATAAGGAAGTTTGTGGATATGCGTTTCTAGATAATGACTCAGATACAACCCTAATCAAGTCAAGTACTGTACGACTTTTAGGTTTATCCTCAGACAGTGCGTCGATTACCGTCAAAACAGTCAACGGAAATAAGTTAAGCAGATCGACAACCAAAGCCTGTAACGACTGAACAACCAGTATTCGTTTGGAACGCCGGATTGACGAACCAAAATTTATTTGATTAGATCAGACTACGTTCCTCTGTATAGCGTACAATGCGTTTTTGAGATACTCGTATTATATTATATCAAAACACAAACTATGTGCTCAATATTGTTGTGTCTTGCTGATTGGACGCTTTGGTTGTCGATCTGCTTAACTTATTTCCGTTGACTGTTTTGACGGTAATCGACGCACTGTCTGAGGATAAACCTAAAAGTCGTACAGTACTTGACTTGATTAGGGTTGTATCTGAGTCATTATCTAGAAACGCATATCCACAAACTTCCTTATCCCCAGCTCTAAGGCGTACAGGGATTAAACCAAGAAACACATCCTCTTTTAGTGACTCTGTGTACCCACAATGACTTTCTTTTAACCGCTCACTCGAACCACCCTGAACTTGAATGGTTTTATGCAACAATGGGTGATGACTTGGAACACAGGAATACAATAAATATGTGAATTTTATCTTACCACAAAATCCACGAGATATATCATTCAAAGACACAGTCCAGATTCTATCTGATATTTTCGACGAACAGTCCTCACTATTTAATACTCGCTATAAATGTTTCCAAATAACGAAATCTCTAGAGGACGATTACCTCACGTATGCTGGGAAGGTAAATCGAGAGTGCGAACGCTTCAAAATAAACGACATTACAGCGGACCAATTTAAATGCTTGATTTTCATATGTGGTCTAAAGAA